ATACGGCTCTCAACAGCAGCCTTGAATTTGGAGACGTCCACTCCCATATGCTCCTGGAGGAATTTTTCCCCTTCCATCAGTGGGGGAAAAACTTCCTTCTCCATAGCGTCGCAGAAGGTTTTGAGGGCTTCAGCAGCTCTTTTCTCGTACTCCTCACCCTTCTGCTGCTTCTCTTCAGCTGCTGCTTGCTTCAGCTTAGCAAGCTTTAATTCCTCTTCAGCTACCTTCTTGTCGTGCACAGCAGCGTTTACCCTATCTTGTAGGGTATCTATCAGCTCTACAGTGAGAGTCTGATTGTGCACGAACTGAAAACAGGAAGACAAAAAAAATATATATATATATATTTATAATAATAAAAATAGAGCTGAATTTCAGAGGAAATGAAGACAAGGAAAATTACCTGCATCATCAGCAGTTGGTTAGACCTGGCTGGGTCAGGAACTGATCTGCTGGATTCGCCCATCCCAGCAGTGGCCTTCAGCGACCAGATCCTTGCCCTATCTACTTCGGACATGCCAGCAAAATTGCCGAAGTAGGCTGCAGCTCCTTCTCGGTTCTGACCCCATATGAGGTCCCAGATGTGGTCTGGGATTGGAATTCGGGGGGCCGAGAAACCCATTTCTCTAGATTGTAGAGTCTGGAAGGAAGGAAAGGATGACGATGGAGCTTGATTAGCTTTGGATGGCTCAGCATCATCCTTCTCAGAGGAGTCAATTACTATGACCTCCTCTTTTTCAGGGGTGAGGACGAAAGCCTCAACCTCTCTTGCGATGTCTGCCGTGAAGCCCTCAGCACTGGACATCACGGCATCCTTGTTTCCGTGCTCAGCAGCACTCTCCTTAATTTCTTCTTGGACCCCTCCCTTAGATTCGGGAGTTCTCTGATCCACCTCCATCTCAGTGGCCGGGGAACCCTCGGCGATCCATTGCCTTCCTCGGGTTCCCTTATTGCAACGCCGATGGTCATCGGCCTCCGCTGAAAGTCATGAGGGCCGATGATGGCCATCCTTCGGCGCCTTTTCTGAAGGGGCTGCTCGTCCATATCTGAGTCTGAAGACTCTCCTTGTATTTGGTCTTCGGGACGAACAGGAGCTTTCCCTTCTCTATGTCTGTTACTCTCTTCAGACTGTAACAGACATGGGGGAGGAAGAATGTGAGTAAAAAAAAAAAAAAAAAAAAAAAAAAAAAAAAAAAAAAAAAAAGAAAGACAAAGTTAAGTCTGAAAGCTCACCGAGGTCTTCAGCAAAGCCTCGTCTTCTTCAGCTGCCCTAGCTGCAGCTTCTGCTTCAACAGCTCTGGAGGACCCTTCTTCTCCTTCGCAAGCTTCGAGAACCCGTGCAACCTCTTCGGCTGTACGGGCAGCTTCAGCTTCTTCATCCAGCAGCTGAAGCCAGGGGTCTCTCTTCTTCCACCAAGGCTTCTGCCTCTGATACAGAGCAACAGCCTCAATTTGGAAGTGGGAAGAGTCTAGATGAACTTCCCTATGCCTCGGCTCAGTGATAGACGGGGCCCGTTCAGTTACAACTCGTTCTCGGTTGACACCAAGACGAGCGTAGTTAATGCCAACGTTGGTCTCGTCCCGCTCTGAAAAAGGAAAGGGGAAAGGTCAGTTCAGATAGGTTGGCACAGCATAAAAAAGCGAAGCGAGAGAAGAAAAAGAGATAATTAAAAAGCCTCGGCCCCAGCCGAAGAAGCTTACCATCCTTAAACTTTCGGCTGAGGCCAACAGCTGCTAGCATGTTCTCTTGGAAAACGTAATGCGTATCGGGGAGCCAAGTCTCCGGGATATGCTGCATTCGGCCACTGCCCCCCCGGTTCGGCAGCTTGCCGAAGATATGTTGCTGATCAAGGTTCGGATCCGCCCCGTTATCTGCGGGGGGACCTAGACTTCCCATTTCGGGATCAGGCTCAGCGAGGTACCGGGGAGCGCTGAAGACGCAAGGGTGGCCCGGATCTGTGGGTGCCCTAACCCAAATCCATTGACCTCTCCAGTCCTTGTCTGAAGAGTCGTTTGGCCACATGGTTAGGTATTGGGGCCGGGACTCAATCCGGTACCACCCAGAACCATGGCTTCCGTGCCCACTTTGAATATTTGGCACTAGCCGATGGAGCTTTTTGAAGCAGTGCAGGTTCGGCGCATACTTGAAGAACTTGCAGACCCATAAGTATGTCATCACCCTTCGGATGCTCGTGGGAGTTAACTGACATAGAGAGATGTTGTAATGGATCAGCAAGTCTCGGACGAATACGTCCAAAGGGAACCTCAGCCCGTACTGAAGCTGTCTTGTGTACACCCCCACATACCCCGGGGGTGGACGATGGATTCTATCGGATGCCGAGGGCATTCGGCACCAATACCCATCAGCTTCAAAAATGTCGTAATGCAACTCAATTTGCTCGGCAAATCGATATTGATCGGCATTCTCCACCCACCATGAGTAGGGGCGGTTCTTTATCATGGCCGAAGCAACTTCGGCATTCTTCCATTCTGAAAACCCGGGGAGGATATCCCAAAGGACAGCGGGAACTTCATCATCCCGTCCAGAAGCGCTCGGCTCCTCCGTTCTCTGAGGAGGAGCCGAGGAAAGGGGAGTCCCTAATCCCTTCAGCAGGGTCAGACTCTGGCCTTTGTCCATTCCAGGTCCCAATCCTGTTCCTAGGATCGGGAATCGGCCTTGCTCTTCTTGGAGCACGGGCTCTACCTCTAACTCCTCTTGCCATTGATTATTTCGAAGAAAAAAGTCGAAAGAAAAGGGGAAGGAGTTCGAATTCGAAGAAAAATAAACTGAAATCAAAGGAATTTACCTTAATCTGAAGCGAAAGTTGCCGATTTACGAGTTCGTAGTGGCAAGTCTCAGTTTCTAAGCTTAATGCTCGGGGAATTTGCGAAGTTTTGATGCGGGTTCTTGGTTTCTCTCTCGAGAATTCTGGGTTTGTGTTGGTGAATAAGTGAGGAGAGATGACGCGCCTCTGTTTATATCTCCAGGAATGGGATACGAGGAGTCTGCGTTTTAATTTCTCTTAAATACTCCACTAAGTAACCGTTAAACACATGATCTTGTGATTAAACTGCCCATTATCCGTCCAACTTCCACAATCATCCGCCTTAACCGTTGTTATCTCATTAATTACGGTTTAAATTCAAATTTTTGGATTAATTAAATCATTTACTTCCCTCCTTTTCTGAATTAAATCAAACCCGACCCGTCATCCTTCCAAATCGGGTCTGGGGGGCAAGTTGTTTGGGTCCAATTTAGTCCAATTGGGCCTAGGCATTAAATGATCCAATTAAAAGCCCAAGGTCAAGGTTCAACTCTCCAATTATGCTAAAGTCAAAGGTCAGCCCACAAAGCAAGCCAATTGGGCTAAGGCCCAACCTCTCCATGTATGATGAGGTATAAAAGCCATCAATATTGATACATTTATTATGTTCATTCATATGTTCATTCATATGTTCATTCATATATTCTCATATATTCCATCAAAGCCTCAAGCAACAAACTCTCTTGCATAGTGTCCTCTTCTTACACATTGTACTGACTTTAGCATCGGAGGGGCCTTCCTCGGCAACACCCCGAGGCTAGTTTACGTGTGTTTATTGTGCAGGAAACCTTCGGCCCAACATAACTTGGACCGAATCCAGCCTTCTCCATTTCAGCGGACCTTCGGCAAGGTCCCATTGTTTTCACCCGAAACACCAAGAGTAACATCTTTACTGTGAGCTAACTCGCATGTACGCTCAGCATGATATTGATGCGAAAATACAACATATATTACTTGTATTGTGTTGGTTGTTAAAACTCAATTCACTAATTATGATCAAAGAATATGGAAAATAAATAAATAATTGATAATTGATTTATGCCAATGTCAATTTGTCACAATTCGCAAGGCTCGCAACTCACAAATGAGAAATTGTTGATTAATACAAAAACCCACTCAAGGAGTCAAGGCCCACTAGAGCTTCACAAAAAAAGACTACGTCCTTTTTGGGCCTAATACCACTCATGGCCCAACTATCATTTATGGACTAATCAGACTCTACGATTTTTGGGCCTCCAATCAGCTTAGATAATTTTTCATTCGATGGTCATTTAACCATTTGATTATCCAAAAATAAAATCTCGAGCTAATCGGCCTTAAAAATGGCTTTACTTTTGCTCTCTCTTATTTTTAAGGTTCCATTTATTTTGACGGAGAATAATTGTAATGGAAAATGAATTTCCATCAAAATTATTTTCCGGAAGAAAATTAAAATTTGTTTAGTTTTTCCTATGTTTATTTGTAAAATTTGTTTAGTTTTCCTTTGCTTGCAAGGAAATCCATTCGAGAACAGAGATCAATGTTGAATCAAAGAAGCAAATAATCAAAGAGAGGAGAGAGATTGGATTGAAAAGTACTTGGTGAGAGCAAAGCTTGAAGATGTGTGAGAGAGACAACGAGTTTGAAGATGACCGAACTTTAGCAGCGTAAAGACGTACAAAACTACAAATATACAATGGAAAAAGATGGCACACCACAATTTTTTAGGAAAATTATTCGGAGAAAATACAAGTTCATCTTCATGATAAACAGAAAAACTTTTGTAAATAAATCAAAAACTTTTGTTTTTTGTGGACCCTGGTAATGTTGATTAATTTACATAAATGCTCATGATGACTGAGATTTTACATTGATTTATTTACAAAATTGCCATTAGATAAACGCACTACACCAAAAACTAGATTAGAGATCGCAAAAATAGAACGATTACCAAAGATAGACGTTCTCCAGAAGAATATAGAACGTATTTGTATAAGAGGCATTATGTATGTAAATACATATGGAACGGTTAGCATAGTTAAACGTTCTCTATTTTTTTACTCTAAAATATCTTTAAAAAATAATTAATTATTATAGATGATATAGAACGGTCATCTTAACAACCGTTTTGTATTGTATTAATTAATTGTTTTTTTTAATTATTAGGAGGAAAAAATATACATAATAATAATTTGCCCAAATTAATTAAAGGTGGCTAAAATGAATTGAAAAGAGCGCTCCTCTTTTCACTTTCATTTCACGTTCGATCACTTTCACTTTAACTACTCGTAGACCTTAAAAAAAAAATATTGCTTGTTTATTGCTTTCGTGAAACCTCCACCACTGTCATAACTTCAGCCGCTGACTGTTCGCCGCACCACCGCTCCACCGCTGTACCACCGATCGTCGCATAATTTCTGAGCATCGCACCACTCCTCTGAGGTAGGTTCGAATTGAATCTTCTTGTTATAGGGTTATTGAATTTTGATTATTTGTCAATTGAACTGCATGGATCATTCAAAATAGGAAGGAAACATAATTAAATTAATAAGTTTTCATCTATTAAATTAATTCGCAATTTGAATTTTAGGTGATTGAAAAAAAACTTCAAAGTTCTAGTTTTAGGGTTAAATTCAATCGATTGTTTGTATGCAAATATTTCAGTTGAATTGCAGTAAGTTCAATCAAATTACCCTTAATTTTGCCGAATTATATTTATTTCAATAGTAATCAAAATAATTTTAGCCAAATTAATCTTACCTAAGTTCAATTTAGAACCCTAATCAGATAAAGAAAGAGGGGTAGGGGAAACTAATTACCACTGGATTATTGAATTGTGCTCTATTAATTTCAAATACTCTGCAATATATTTTAGAAATATTGATTCGCTTTGCTTTTCTTTCATAAAAGGGTTGGTTATGAGATCTTGTGATTGAAACTATGCACACATCTGACTATATTCTGCTTCTGAAAAGAAAAGGCAGCAGTTCATTATTTCCCCTTCTTACATTTAACCACTTTTGTTTGCTTGTGAGATTTCTATGTTAGCAAAAATGGATGTGTGGTTATGTTTAGATTGGTTAGTTGTTTCGTACTTCTTCACATAGAACTAGGACTCTAGGAGAACCGCTGAACATGGAAAGTTTCAATTTGATTAAACGATAGTCATAATATTTCTGCTTTCCGAATAAGTTGTCCCTTCTTCCACGTAACAGATTGTTAATTTGATTCATGTGGAAGTGTGGATGCATCAAAGTGCTTCAATCAGTGTTTCGGAATATTGTGGTTTCCCTATCATTTCTATTGTTCTTGGAAATTAATTAAATGACATTATTTAAGAAAACTAATTTAATTGACCTTTTAGGACTTTCCCTATCTGAAGACGATCTCTAACAATATACGTAGTATGATAATTTCACTATTTAACAATTAACATTTATTATTCACGAAAATATTTTAGTTATGTAGTCTGTCTAAAATGAACTTACAATCAGTGTAGGCTTTACCCAGGTGGTATGTTTGTACAGATTTACAATTATATTAGAGAATACTATTTAAAGTTACTTTGGGGCAATGATATAGCCAATTAAAGACTGTATTTTCTAGAATGAGACACTGTATTGGAAAATCCAAGACGACTCGTGTCTTTTGCAATAAGAAGTGCATGAGCTATGAATTGTCTTGCTAGAGGAACGCCATATATTATCTGCTCTTGGATAACAACAGCAAATCTCCTGAGAAGAGCATAGATTTGGCTTTGTACTCAGGTTCAGGGGGGAAAGTATGGGTTTTTGGGGTGAAATTGATTAGGGATGGGAGGAGTTTGAGGTTAGTGAAGTGTGCTGTGATTGATTGTAGGTTTCCAATTTCGTCGATTTGCCTTTCGTTTGGGTTTTTTATCTTGGGGGAGATGAGAGGGGTTCGGGTTTTTCTATTGCATGTATTGGTGAAAGGGAGGGTTTGGAGTAAAAGGAGGTTGATAGTAGTGAAAGGGAAGGGTGAGAATTCGAATGCTGAGGAGCGGGAGGTTAGTATGAAAGCCAAGGGGCAGAATTCCACTGTGCCGAATGGGGATTTTACAGACCACTCAGCTCCTGCAAGTACTGACCCTTTAGCAGCAGCAACAGGTTCAGACTTTCTGAAATGGTCTGGTTTCTTAGCAGCAGCGGCAACTGGTTGTGTTGCATTTTTTTTTTATTTTTATTTTTTTTTTTGTGAAACCAAGCTAGGAATAGATTAATTAGCAGATAAAGAGTCCATCAACACATAAGGAGCAACATCTTGGGGACAATGATTCTCCCAAATTTGTTCAACTCCAAATGGAATAATCCTAGCTAGAGCATGAGCTACACAATTGCGTTTTCAGCTTACATGTTTCCAATTAACAAAATCAAAGCTAGAGCATAACGAGAGAATATCTTCCAATACTGTGTCAATGTCAGCAGAATGGATAGCACCCTTGGACAGCCTATCAACCACTACCTAGCAGCCATTAAGCACTAATCCAATACTGACCCTTTAGCAGCAGCTCTGTTTTTTTTTTTGGTTTTTTCAAAGGGATTTTCTCATAAGTGGGAGAGGGACACCCATTTTTTGGCTTCATATTCGTAGTTTTGGCTCCATTCTTGATTTATTAATTTATTTTTACATTATTTTGGGTTTTTTTTTTTTTTTTTATTTATCAATTATGCAACATTTATTGGTTAATGACTTAATGTGGTGAATTTTGTTTTAGATGTGCACTTTAAATCAATAAAGATATTATTGATTATTTAGCTAATTGTTTTTTTTTTAACTAATAGAGTTTGGTTATATTAAATAGAAGAACTTGTGTCTTAATGCTAAGCTAGTTAACTCGAATAGTAGTGCTCAACGAAATTCAATTATAACTGTAATGATATTGATGGCACATAAAGAGATCAAATTGTTATTATGATTTGAAATTTGTTACTTCTTTGTATTCCAAATCTTTGCTGTTGCTATCATGACTTCATGAGATATTGTGTAAATGCTTGCAAGATCTGTTACTCTTGCTTGTTTGGTTGTGCCTTGTTGGCAACTTAGGATGTATACCTATGTTGTTGACTGAGGCTTATTTGTTATCCATGCCCCACAGTGACACTCTATTTTGAATTTCTGTTTTTGAATTTTCTGTATCACCGCGACAAACTGTTAATCTATTCAGCATCCATTCTGATTGATTTGCAAAAATGGCAATAGCCACCAATTTTTAGTAATTCTATGTATCATTGTACAATATCCTTAAATGTAGACCAATTTATTTTATATTATTAACTAATATGTATGTATTTTACATTGTTTTGTAGTATTTTAAGCAAGTTCCTCGTACATATTCTCAACAAATGATTGACGAGCTTAGGGAAAGGTGGATTTCATATGTTACCGGATACCATCAACCAAATGACGACGACGATGATTTATGTGAATTGTAGATCAACATGGTATTGGTATATTTTGGGGCATCAATTTTTTTTTTTAATCAACATTAACTAGAAAGGTTTTTTATATTTAACTCACATATTTGTTTGTATAGAACAAATTTTGTATGGATGATTCAATTTAATTGTGGTTGAATGTTTTAAATTATATATATGAAGTATATTTTGATGGCTTTCGTCGTATCTGGAAATATTTTTGTTAATTTTATTATACATAAAGTTATATTGCACGTACAGGATATTGGATTTATTTTACATAGGAAATAAGAAGATTTTCTTACAGGATATATAAATTTACAAGATATAAAACAAGAATACAGGTCTAAAATGAAATACAAAAATAATTCAGATTATTAAAATACAGGAATAATACGGTATAAAATACGTAGAGGGGTAATTCGAATAATTATATACATATGGCCGGATTTTTTTTAAAAAAAATAAAATAAAATTAGAGAACTGTTATCTAACTTAACCGTTCTCTATTGTAATGCAATATAGAACGGTTAAGTAGCCTAAATCGTTCTGTATTCCTTCCTTGGTGTATGAATTTGTTATTATATAAAACGCCTACACGACCCGTTCTCTATACTTTATACATCGCTTAGCAGAAGAACGCCCCTAAGGTGATCTATAAAGCCTATTATAACAGTTCTCTAACGCCTTTTTTGTAGTAGTGACGTTTTTTGTTTATCATAAAGATGAACTGGGACTTCCTCATTTGTTTGGGCCTATGGAAAAGTATTTTCCAGCCTTAGGTCATGTTCTAATTTGCTGAGCTGAATTGAAATAAACTGAACAAAAGCAAATGGGGTACAAGATGATACTCCCTCCGCTTTTTTTTTTTTTTTTTTAAAAAAAAAAATACATGCATTACTTGGTGATGTGCGGAGTTTTAAGAGAGTAATATAATATTATGAGTAGGTTTAGAGGGGTATCCTAAAAAAACACAAGAGGTAGATTTAGAAGCAAGCTTGTGAGGAGCCGTGGCGGCCAAGTTTGGGAAACATAGACATCCAAAAACCCGAAGATGATCATAAGATGGGTTAGTGCGGAAGAGAGCCTGTGCCGGGGTCAAGTTATTTAAGGACTTGGTTGGCAAAATATTTAAGAGATATGTAGCGGACTCTAAGGCATGAACCCAATAAGAGGGGGGTAGGGATGCATGGAATAGTAAAGTGCGATTGACATTGTTAATAGTGCGGATCATTCTTTCAGCTTTACCATTTTGGGAAGAAGTGTGAGGGCATGAAAATCTAAAAACCATACCATTTTCTAGATAAATTTTTTTAAAAGGGTCATTGTCGAATTCTCGACCATGGTCACTTTGAAAGGATTTTATAGGCCGTTCAAACTGAGTTAAAACATATTGCCTAAATATGAGAAAGCTTTGGTAGGCTTGAGATTTAGATGCTAAAGGAATAGCCCAAACATAATGAGTAAAATCATCAAGAAGCACTAGGTAATATTTGTGACCATTACTACTACGAATAGGAGATGTCCACAAATCGGCATGTATAATATCAAAAGCACAATAAGTATTACTATTCGAAAGAGAAAAAGGAAGTCTAACATGTTTCCCTAATTGACAAGAAATGCAAACATTGGAGTCTAGCTCCTTATTATAACAAATAAAATTATTATTTTTAAGGTAGCTTATAGAAGCTGTTCCCGGGTGTCCTAGGCGCTCGTGCCAAGTGGTAGGAGCGACAGTGGTGAGGGACGTGGAAAGGCATGTGCTTGGATCAGTAGTGGTGATAGGATAGAGATCCCCCGAACTATTGCATCTGGTGATTACCCTCCCCGTTCGAAGGTCCTTCACAGAAAAACCATTAGGGTCAAATTCAATAGAAACCAAATTGTCAAAAGTAAACTTACGGACTGAAATAAGGTTTTTAATAATTTGAGGGGCAAGGAGGACATCTTTAAGGGCAAGAGATTAATTTGGGAATTTATAATGACCATAACCAGTAATTGGAATGCGATGACCATTTCCTACTAAAATATGATTATTAGTGCTTAATTGTAACAAGGGAAGAAGATTACCGGAAGTATGGCTCATGTGAGAAGTAGCTCCCGAATCCATATACCATCCATTATCCGGTGGGGACAATCCTGGTGTTGAGTAAGCACTACTGAGCTCCGTTGGGGTCATGGGCTGACCGTACATAAGAGAACCACTGTAATAAGCCTGCTGATGTTGAATTTGTGCACTGGGCCTTTGCTGAACATGGCCCATAGTTGGAAAGGGGGCTGGTGGAGTTGCCCATTGAGGCCACGGATACTGCTGATTGGGCCAAGTGCCCGGTTGGGCCCAACCTTGACCAATCGGTCCAGAAGGTTGCTGAGAAGTAGGGGCTTGCGAGGGTTGGGATTGTTGCTGCTGTCCACCCCGAGCCTGGCCTCCTTGGCCACCACGCCCCTGGCTGCGCCCCCTGCCTCGATCGGCCTTGCCCCAGCCGCGCCCACGACCTCCGCCACCACGTCCTCCGCCGGGTGTAGCTGGTTGTTGTTGGGCGGATTCGGATGATGCGGAGCTTTGTTGTTGTGCGACAAAGGATGAAGGGGGGTTGCTGTGATTGGTGTTGCGCCGCGATTCTTCGAGAAGAAGACGAGAACAGGCCGTATTAAAAGAGGGCAGTGGGTCAGTTTGGGCAATCATAGTTGCAACGGTGTCATAATCCGTTTTATTAAGACCGGCGACGAGAAGGAGCACCAATTTCTGATCAGAGATGGGCTGGTCGACGTTCGCTAATTGGTCAGAAATGCTCTTAAGCTGTTGACAGAACGCGGTGACGTTAGGGTAGGCGTCAAGATGAATTGGGTTCAGTTAAGTTTCAAGGTACACTGCCCGCGTACTCTTGTTATCCTGAAATATGTCCTTGATTCGGTCCCAAGTCTGTTGAGCAGTAGACTTACGACCAAGAATAGTCTCAAGAAGATCCTTCGATATGGTGCCGTAGATCCATTGTTTGACGATCGCGTCAAGTCGATTCCATAAAGTTTCAGAAATATTGGAAGGATAAGGTGTTTTGGGGTCAATGTGATCTAGAACGTCATATGCACAAACATGATTTTCAAACAATTCTACCCAGCTTGAATATTGAACCTTCTCATAGTCTAGGGTTAGTGGGATTGAATTCTTGATGTTCGTTACTGTGAGGGCAGGATGAAATTCAGGGGATGAAGGTGGCGGTGGTGACGAATTGTCGTCATCTTTAGCCATTGATGTGAGGCGGTGATAGAATTAGGTGAAAAAGCGGAAGCAGAAAAAATAAAAAATTGGATCTAGAACCTAAAGTTGTGATACCATGTTGGATATCGGGAAAACTCCTCAATCTGGAGTGTGTACCATTGATCAAATATATAGAGTTTACAACGCTAGGATAAGGACTCCTAGATACGATAAACATACAAAATATACATTAAATATATCCTATACTTGTGACAAATATTATCCTAAATATAATATCTATCATATTATGAGTAGGTGAATAATTTATTTGGAAAAAGATAAGAAGCTAAAAGTGGAAAGAATAGACAATAAATAAACATTTATTACACCGATTTATTTGTGAATTGTCGATAAATTTCCAACTTAATACAAAAAAGAGGATATTAAATGCTTATAAGGGTTGCATATAGTATTACCCGATTTATTTTAATAATAGTAAGATGATGACTACGAAAGAGAAAAGATATGAAAAGAGTATTTAAGTTGGGGTTGTGTGAAGATTTTTGTTGTCAAAAAAAAAAGTTGACATTGTGTGAGAAAGGAAAAAATGATAAAATAATTTTAAGTGTGGTTTAAAGTAAAAACATAATATAAAGTCCACAAATTAAAAAAAAAATGGAAGGAGTAAAGTTTTTATAATTGGGCTTGGGCCCAAATCGTAATTATTTGTAAGTACCATCACTCAATATTTGACTTTTATAGACACTAGTTGTTGGCCCGCGCGCTACGCGCGCGGTCCCCCAACGTGATTTTGTTTAGGTAATTAGTGTGTAATTAGTCGTCGTGTATTTATTAATGTAAGTGAATTTGCTTATAGTATATAATGTGTAGGTATAGAAGTTAGAGTGGGGATTATTAGAAGGCTTACATAAGGCATATGCACATGTTAGTAAGTTTATGTGCATTGGTTAATCATGGAGCATTGAGTTGGCTCCAAAAGCAAACTAAAAGAATAGATATTCGACTCCCAACAGTAGGAAAATTAGGTGCAGCACAATCTCTAGTACAAACTTTGTCTATTAGCTATTAATATATTTACAATGTTGTAATTGCTTTATAATTACTTAATTATTGATCTATGAGAATCACATTACATAATTACTACTAAATACTAATCTAAAGGGTGCAGCTATAACGACTCCTCGTTGTTCATAGCTAATCTTCTTCCTATGCCCTACTCAGTACTGCCTGTAAATTCTGCTCCTCATGATACTGCAACCACAAACAAATACAACACGATGAATTGGTTGTCAAAGATCAATTTTTAATAGCTCCAAACAATGACCCCTACTGAATTATTTGAATCAATCTCAAACAATATCCAAAATTACATGGCTCGAACAAAAAATGACCCAACTTGAGCTAAAAGTTAGTAAGTATATCATTGATAAACAATCATAAGAATCTACTTAGAAAAACGAATATGACCTGGGCCAAAATTAAACAAGGTGAGTAAATCACCAAAATTTGCCCCAAAACACAGTGTCTACGCTAAATAATCCCTTTTTTAGCATTCTAGTTCTAACAATCATAACTCATGACAATAATGAGGCCATCAAAAACTTTTCTTATTGGAAAAGCAAAGGGATTACCTGCTTTGCTTCCTTTCTTTCTCAATTACATCCTGTTATAATAAGCAACAATTGTTAGATAAATTATAGGTGGGAACTATGGTAGTAAAAATACGCGCTTGAAGAGAAAAAAAAAACGTTGAATTCAACAGGATACACAAGTTATTAACAAGACCAATCATTCGGAACAAAACCACATTGTTTATAAATCATGTCAATATCAAGATTAAGTACTTGCTAAAGCTAGGATTTGAGAAAAAAAAAGTATAACGGGTGTTGCCAAAAAAATTAAAATGGACATTATTCACAAAACAATTTGACTATCAATATTTTTATTTTATTTTTATAGAGCACATATTCACAACCAGAAGTATCTAAATTAAAATTGGGTCGCGCAAGGCATTATGTTTGATGAAAAATTGATAATTCACACCAACTGCTTACATAAACATTATGCTTAATGAGAGCTCTGTAGTCTGTACAGGGTTAGGCTCATCATTAGTGAACAACATAGCATCATAATCTTCCACTAAGATGAGAGCAAAGAATAAAATTGGGTAATTTGATGACCTTCATATATATTTGATGACGAGTAATTTTTAGACCTTTGCTACTTACTGTGTGAGTATGATTAGTGTCGAATCCATATCACTTGATTTTGAGAAAGTTATATGTTACTACCACTTTCATCTAACACACAAAGAACACTTATACACTCCATATCACTCGCTCTCCCTACTAGCTTTACTTCTCTTTCCCCGTACTCTTTCTATCACTCAAGCCTTTATGGTGTTGCAAATTTTAAGTCTTTTTAACACTTTTTTTTATTGCTTCCTGGTTATATAATTGACCTCCTCAAGTGCTCCTTATCTCTTTGCCTTCTTTCTCTCACATTGTCACTGTCACATATTGGGCCCTATCTCCCTCTACTCCTTTTGTTCCCTCATCATTAGCTCCTCCCTTACCTCCTCTTGCTTCCTATTCTTCTCTCTTCTATTGTGGTCTTGATAATTGAGTTCGTCCTAATTGCTTCCTCACCCTTTCTCGCACCTTTTTTTCATCTCCCTCTCATTTATCTTATGTGTCGTGGTTATTAAAGTTCGTCCTAATTGCTTCCTTATCCTTCCTCATCGCTCCTCTTATTTATCTTATATTGTTATTAAGATATTCACTTTTATAATTTATATTTTTGTCATGTCATTAAAAAGATATTATATTGTATAACAGTCTCCTAAAAAAGCTGTAATTGTCACGACTTTTCTCTGCCTAGTATCCTTGACGACCTCGAACTTTCTTTAACATCTTAGCCATCACATAGTCACCTTTTTTTTTTTTGCTCTCTTATTATTCCTTTCTCATTCTCTTCCTTTCCTGTTTCTCTTAATCCTTATTCTTCTCCCCCCCCCCTCCCGCCCGCTCTTTATCTCTGTCACACTCTTAAATGGTTTTAACATTTTTTTTGTAATCATATTCCTACGCCCATATCTCTTGATTTTGAGAAAGTTATATTTTACTACCACTTTCATCTAACACACAGAGAACACATATACACTCCATATCACTTGCTCTCCCTACCAGCTTTACTTCTCTTTCCCTGTACTCTTTCTATCACTCAAGTCTTTATGGTGTTGCAAACTTTAAGTCTTTTAACACTTTTGTTTATTGCTTCTTGGTTATATAATTGACCTCCTCAAGTGCTCCTTATCTCTTTGTCTTCTTTCTCTCACATTGTCACCGTCACATATTGAGCCTTATCTCCCTCTACTCCTTTTGTTCCCTCATCATCAGCTACTACCTTACCTCCTCTTGCTTCCTATTCTTCTCTCTTTTTTCACTCTTCTATTGTGGTCTTGATAATTCAGTTCGTCCTAGTTGCTCCCTCACCCTTTCTCGCACCTTTTTTTCATCCCTCCTCTCATTTATTTTATATGTCATGTTTATTAAAGTTCGTCTTAATCGCTCTCTCATCCTTCCTCATCGCTCCCCTTATTTATCTTATATGGTTATTAAGATATTCACTTTTATAATTTTTATTTTTATCATGTCATTAAAAAGATATTATGTCGTATAACAGTCTTCTAAAAAAGTTGTAATTGTCACGACTTTTCTCTCCCTAGTATTCTTGAGGACCTCGATCTTTCTTTAACATCTTAGCCATCACATAGTCACCTTTTTTTTTTCTTTTTTTTTTTCTTTTTTTGCTCTCTTCCTTATTCCTTTCTCATTCTCTCCCTTTCTTGTTTCTCTTGATCCTTATTCCTCTCTCCTCCCCTCTCTCGCCCACTCTCTATCTCTGTCACACTCTTAAATGGTTTTAACATTTTTTCTGCAATCATAGTCCTACGCCCCCACCCCCCCCCCCCCCCAATGAAATGAAAACCCCTTGTATGGCATGGAAATTGAGCTAAATGCACTGAAAATTTCAGTCTAAGTGCATAAATAAACAATACTCGTACTATTTAATGGTTTTAACATTTTTAGTAATCGTAGTCCATCGTGACATCGTCCCTCGCCTCTCAATGAAATGGAAACCCCTTGAATGGAAATTAAGCTGAATTCACATTAAATATTAAATGCATCGGTCTAAGTGCATATATTAACAATACCCAAATCCCAAAATGCAAAGTCACCAAAATAAGTACCAAAAAAAAACAAGATTAATGGACTAAACATAAATAAACAAAGTATGATACCTCTCAAAGTATTCAAGGATACCGAAAACTGAAGGCCTGAAGAACAAGAAACTCGCCTAATGTTGCTCTTTCTCTGGCTGTTAGCCTTTTCATTTCAGCTCTGAACCTTTTCACCTCAGTTTCCATTTACTTCCCATCTTCTCTGGTTATTCTTTTCACAAACAAAGCAAAAATCATCTGAAAAAAACAATAATAATTGGATTTTTACATGAAAATAAATCCCGCTCAAAATAAGTGACCTTTGTATAATCAAATACTCCCTCCATCCCAAAATGATAGTCTCTTATGGGCAAAAATCACGGGAATTAAGAAACTTAAATAAAAGTAGTAAAATTACATTGAAAAGATAAATATAGTATGTAAAATAGTAGAGAGAGAAAGTAATAAAAGTATATTGAAAAACAAAATTTACATGGGAAAGTTAAATTTGCACAAATATTGTTTAATTGGAGGGAATTTTCATAAAAAAATGATATTAATGGTACTTGAAAAAAGCAAATGGGATTATCTTGATTTCCTGCACAAACATATTATTATTAACCCAACTTATTATGTTAATCTTATATCTCTATTATTTCAGCTAAAAAAAAGGTAATTCAGTAATTAAGCACGAACAGTCAAAAGGATAAAGGATGTCATCAAATCATCATGAGATTTAAAACTCATCAGGTTCCTGCTTCTATAAGAAGTGCAGACAGTACAAAACACACAAACAATATAAGTATTT